CATAACTATACAATGTACACTCACCGTCCTTGAAGGCACTCCTTCATCTTCACCGCTTACAGTCAAAGTATAAGCATTCTTCTCTTCTCTATCAAGAACCTCAGCAGTTGTGATGACACCATCCTAATAAAAGTATATACAAAAATATAAATTATATAGATTCCTGTCGCACAATATAATACAATGTAATTATTTCAATTTTCATAATTTCCACGCTCTAGATACAAACTGTGATACTATGCACATTTGTGGAAAAGAATGGATTCCTTTTGAAGCTGTAAATTTGGCATATAGAGGGTTTATCTTTTATACAAGGATATAGCTGATATAAATGTTTCCTAGTTTGTGGAGATCCGGCACATAAATTTGATACTATAAGTACACTACACTAAAAGGAGAATTTGACAGGAAACCATTATTGCCATGATCTGTAGAAATTTTTTCACTTATCTCTATAAGCTTTGAATTTTGTACAGTTCATGAGAAATATTATCGAACAGAATCCTGAAATCAAATTTAGAAAACTCTCCTAAAATATAGTAAAAATTAATTTGAGGGATTAGAATGACAATTGTTTTGTTGCCATGGTGATTATAGTCACCATGACTTTCAGTGAAGGCTAGCTTCAGTGCTCCATTTTTTTCATGATTTGTTGCCATACCAACAAATTTTATCATTTTTTATGGTAATCACAATAATCAGTGGTTTTCTGCATTTAATACAAAGTGAGAAAGCAACTTTAACATTAATTGCAATAGAGATATAAATCAACAAATACTTACATCAGAAATACTGAACTTTTCATCCTCATTGCCATAGATGATATCATATATAGTAATAGGATAGAGAAGATCTGGATCAAAAGCACTGACATTACCGACAAATCTACCAATATTAGGATGAGGATCGTCTTCAGACACCAAGAAACTCCAGGAGTCTTCATCAAACTGTGGATCAAACATGTTACAAGGTCCCTAGAGAACAAATATATAAAACACTCTGTTACATTTCTCAAGTAAACACTTGAAGTATGTGATCATGAAATTCTGTATACAATCGACTAATAATTACAAAACGTGAATTGTCTCTTAGGCCACACCGACTTAATTTTATGGATGACATCCGCGCGCGCATTAGTTTTCGCCTGTTCTCAAAAAAAAAAAAAAAAAAAAATCTCCGACGACGAGTCTCCACAGATTGGTTTTCTGTCCAGAACTTGCCGACTCATATTGTCGCAAAGTGTCGGCTTGTCGTAAAACTCGTTTTGGACTACGTCAAAA